ATAGTGTTTAATGTTAGCAAATGCCTTTTTTTATTATATATATGTAGAAATCATATTTTTACTTATTTACTATGTTGATGTGACTCATTACATCAATAGATTGCCTGATATTGAACCACTGTAACATATTTGATGTCAATTCTTATTTGGTTACAGTAAATCGTTCTTATAATTATTTTTACATTGTTGAATGTTATTGAATTCTCTTAACTAGTATTTTGAGTTGTTGCATGTCAATCAATGTATGAATGAGATTTATTTATAGTTTATTTGCCCCACTAAATTGTGGTAAAGGATGTCGAAAGAAAAGAAACGTGTGGGTAGGAACTGTGTTTTTTTCCTTACTTTTTTTTTTTTTTGTAATAGAGACAGGGTCTGGCTCTTGCTCAGACTGGTCTCAAACTCCTCAGCTCAAGCTGTCCTCCGGCCTCGGCCTCCCAGAGTGCTAGGATTACAGTCCTGAGCCACCTCACCTGGCCTTAGAACCATGTTTTTAAAAAAGCACTGGTGGGGACGGGGTGGGAAGGCACAAAAAGGATACATTAGTAGTCACTAAAAAAAAGTTTTTAATTGAATAGAACTTTTTATTAGAAAAACATCCATGATAGACCAAGATATCTTAGTCTACTTGCATACATCTTAGTTTTGATTTTCTTTTAGATTGAAGAGCAGTCAGACTGTAAGATCCTAGATGGACACTTTGTTTCCCCCATGGCCCATTATGTGCCTGATATCATGCCAATTGAATCTGTTATTGCAAGGTAAGAATTTTTGTCCAGAAAGTTAAACTATTAAGTCATTTATGTTCATTAAAATTATAATATCATGTTCAACACCATGTTATTTCAGATTACTCAGGAGTAACAAGGCAGGTCTAAATTACTGAAAATGATGAATTAGAAGATATTTTAATTATTCTAAGGACAAAAGTAGTATAGGTACAAGGATGTTCATTGAAGCACTATATATTGTTGCAAAAAATGGGTAATGCCTAAATGTTCAACAATAAGGGATTAATTCATCATCCATACTGTGGATACTGTTATTGACATGGAAATATGGTCACAATATGTGAAAGTTTAAGAAAATAATACAAATGATTTAGTTCAATTTCTCTAAACACATAATCACACAGAAAAGTTTCCAAACAATATACATCAATGTGCCAGTCATCTATATCTCTGAGTGAAGAGATTTGAGCTTTTAAAATTTCAGTTTTAAATTTTTAAAATGTATATGTGTTGCTTTTGTAATAGCAAGAAAAGATATTTTTAATTGAAGAAACTAAAGAACATGTAGTAACTCAGACTAGACAGACTACATAGTTTCGCTAAGTAAATCTCCTCAGGATGATTTATAATTAGCATATGAATTTGTGAATGTAAATGGATAGTCTAAAATACCTGAAGTTCTTAGGTAGATAATTATGTAATAGTTGGAACTTGGCTTTTTTGGATCTTCTTTATACCATTAATTTGCTTTGTTGAAATGTTCATCACAGATAGTACAGGGGTTAATTTTAGCCCAATCTTGTTAATAGGTTTTTAAAATTGTTTTAATTCTAAATCAGTGTTTAACCTAGGTCTTTCCAGGGTTTTCTGTTTATTTTTTTTTTACCTATTGTATTTAAAAGGAACAAGATACTTTACTTTTTTCTTTTCGTTTTTTATAATAAACCATTTGCTGCTTCTGGTAAGTGGTTTCTCCTTTTAAGACTTTCTTTTGCAGTAGCAATGATAAAATAGCAGTGATACCTATATGTGTGTGTGAAAAATTCTTGGATCAAAAAGACAGTATTCTATAACGGAAACATACAAACTTTTATGTGAGCACATTGGAATCCTGAATTCCAGTACATTCAGAACGTGTAAATGAACCTATAAAGTGTGAACTAACAGAAAAGCAATTTGATAGACCTGATTTTTAACTGTTATAGTTAGTTGTCCATTATTTCATTATCCTTAATGTATTATTTAAAATGTTTTTCTGTTGATAACTTCAAAATGAAAGGCAAGTAGTATTGTGTAGTGGAAAGAACCACAACTTTGGAATTAAACAGATCTGTGATTGAACCCTGGCTCCACTAATTATTGACCTAATGACCTTTGGTCAGTTACTTAATCTCTGAAACAGGCTTTATAAAGTAGAACTAAGAACACTTATCTCATAGGGTTGTTAAAAGGAATAATTGAAATGAATGAAAATTGTGTGCAGAGAATATAAAAAGCATTAAATAAATGTGTAGCTCTTTTAGATGTGCTTTGTCTTACTAATGATTTATAAAAGCATTAAAAGCTCTTTAGCCTGCAGGCTAAACAATGTGAAAGGAAAAGAAATTTGGGGTTTCTAGATATCATCAGTTCAATCCCTGGAATTGTGTCCCCTTCTTGTAGATTCTCTACCCTGTCTGGAAAGTTACAAAGGCTTATAAGCATAAACAAAGGAGAAAAATTGTGTGCTTTGCCTCAGACTAAGAAATAATCCTTAACATCTATTGGGAATTAAAGAAGGGTTCTTTCCAATTGACGAATGGGAAAACAAGTGACTTCCTATCTCTGCAGTAGCATATTTTTACTGCATAATTTATTTTGATGAAATACTATAAACTCCCAAGTGATGTACCTTGACATCCATTCTTTTCTTCCTCACCCCTCATAATTTTTGGACAGCAGTTTATCTCATTACATTAAAATATTAGAACATACAAATAGGAAAGAAGAAAAAAAATTATTGCAAGGAAGGATAACTGCTATTTTCTGTATATTCTTCTAGTCTTTTTCCTATGTGTGCACATAAAACTGTGCCTATTCTCTCTTTCTTTTGACCTAAATAATCAGTGAATATGCAGTCTATCATCATGTTAATGTTGCTTATATTCCATACCATGGCTCTACCATAATTTACTAATTCCTTATGGTGGGCATTTAAATTGCATTGGTTTTCACTATTATACATAACATCACAATGAACATCCTTGTATACTTCTCTTTGCCTGCTTCTCTGATTATTCTCTTGCCATAAGTTGCTAAACGTAGAATTTCTGGGTTTATAAGATTTGCATGTCAGACAGGAACATAGGAGACAAGGAAAAATAACAAAAGAAAAAAAATTGCACAGATTTTAAACTCGATCATATTGTCATATAAGTTAGGAAAAGTGTTAATAATGCTATGCTAAGTTTAGATTAATTCACAAGGAGAAACCTATTTGTCCTATTGTCATTTGGTTGATTGCTCATGATTCTGTCTCTTTTTCACAGTTTCTGTTTTTATTGAAGTAGAAAAAATATACTAGACAAATGATATAAGCGAACTCAAGTATTCTTTTTCCTTAATGTTTTAAGACTGCTTAATATCTGTCTGTAGTGACAGGGTAGATAGACCACAGACTCTAGCTTTCCCTATGTAATGTGAAGTCGTAAATTGTCATGTATCTTGTGGAATCCCATATTGCAAATGTACTTATGTCAAAATTCCAAATGAACTATAACATATCTTTTTAATTTTATTTTTTATTTAACAATCAGTACAAAAGCAATCCATGAACCAAAATATTTGTACCCCTGTAATATTCTGAAAAAGATCTATACTTTTTAAATTATGGGTACATAATACTTGTGTATCTTTACAGGGTATATGTGATATTTTGATACTGGCATACAATGTGAATTAATCAAATCAGGGTAATTGGGGTATCCATCACCTCAGGCATTTATCATTTCTTTGTATTAGGAACATTCCAATTCCACTCTTAGTTATTTTAAAGTATACCCTAACTCATTGTTGATTATAGTTATTAGGTCATTAAATATGAAATGTCTGATTTCAAATCAAAAGTGTAGTTTATTATATCTCAAAGAAGAAGCAGTACAATTAATAAAAGTATGTGCCTAAACTCTCGACACAGTTTTGCCATCTTAGTGGTAGCTTGCTTATGCCAGCAGCAAAGAAGCCTGGAGAGCAAGTGGTGATGAAATCTCTAAAGGCATTTTCCACAGCTTGTTGAGAATTGAATATTTTTCCTTGTAAGAAGTGGTCCAAAGCCTCGAAGAAGTGGTAGTCAGTTGGTTCAGGGTCTGGAGAATATGGTGGATGACAGACAGTTTCCAGGTCCAGCTTCTGTAGTTTTAGCAATGCTATTTTTTGCAACATGTGGTCTTGCAAGAAGATTGGCCTGTCTCTCTTGACTAGTCTTGGCTGCTTAATCACAGGCATCCTCATCATTTCATCCTATTGGTTGTAGTAGACATCCGCTGTAATCGATTGACCAGGTTTCATGAAGCTGTAGTGGATAATACCAGCACTGGACCACCAGACACCATTAGCATTTTTTAATGAATATTCGATTTTGGACTATGTTTTGGCACTTCACCTTTATCCAACCATTGTGCCCAATGCTTGCAATTGCCAAAAAGAATCCATGTTTCATCACACATAATACGATGTAGAAATGGTTTGCCTTTATGTCACGACAGCAAAGAAAGGCAAGCTCTGAGATGATTTCTCTTCTGATGCTCATTTAATTCATGCAATACCCATCTATCCAACTTCTTTACCTTGCTGATTTGTTTCAAATGGTCCAGTTGGAATAGTAATGTCAAACCTTGCTGCTAATTCACGTGTAGGTCGAGATGGATTCACTTTCCCTACAGCTTTCAGCTCATCGTTATCCACCTTGTTCTCAGGTCACCTACATGATTCATTTTCAAAATTAAAATCACTATAAGGGAACTTCTCAAACCATCAACATACTTTGCGTTCATTAGACACATCCGTCCTAAACACTGTTTTAATATTTTGACCTGTGTGCACTGCATTGGTTCCATGAAGGAACTCATATTAAAAAATGAATTTCTGACTTACCCATAGTTTCAGAAAAATTACTCTAAAAAAAAAAAATGTGGGCCGGGCGCGGTGGCTCACGCCTGTAATCCTAGCTCTCTGGGAGGTCGAGGCGGGCGGATTGTTTGAGCGCAGGAGTTCGAAACCAGCCTGAGCAAGAGTGAGACCTCCTCTCTACTAAAAATAGAAAGAAAT